TCCAAAAGTAAAACTTAAAAGTAACAGTAACACTTATCTGAAAACTGTATAAGAGGTCTGATGAGAGGTTATCCCCCTAACACTAATTTGCCATGATTTGGGGATTGACGAACTTTACTTACAGGGAATGTTGAGGAAATTTTGCATAAGAGAATGGGATCACCACAATCAATTTGGATCCGTTATGCTTTACTCTCAGGAGGAGGTAGGTACTCAAGGATTGTTAAAAAAACAAAAACAAAAACACCCTAATTTGCCATAACTTGGGACTAACTCTAACAAGGAACATTTAGGCAATCTTGCAAAAGAGAATGAGATGATGCTTAGCTCACAGGGGCTACCCAAAAGATAACAAGGAAGAATAGATGTTACAAGGGCAACAATGAGTAACTGCCATAATACTTCACATACAGCAAAACATACAAGCATCTGAAGTGAAAAGTGACTTTAACAGTTATTCTTTCATCTCAGAAAAGATACTCCAGGAAGAAAAATGAAACATACATCCTTCATGCCTACTCTAAGGCATCCTAATAAAGTAGAAATCCTTGGTCCTGGGACAAATGACTCATTTCAGAACATAAAATTTAAAACCTTTCATCAAAAACTTTCTCTAAATTTTGTGAAATTTCCAGAAGCCAACTTTTAATGTGACCTATAAATTACAATAATTACCAAGTAGACAAGAGAAAAATAATTTCTTGAACTTTTGTAACAAAAATGAATAGCCCTAGTGTGATTCATGGTGTATTCTTTTTAGCTGTCAAGATAAAAGTGAATCAAACTGATTATTTAGACTGTAGTATTTGTTGTTTTCATACTAAAATATTTCCAAGAAACTTATGAAAATAACAATTACCTGTACAGAAGCTAAGAAAAATACATACATACCTACAGTCAGGGTTTTTCTCACAATCAGACATAATCTTACTTGTCCTATACAAGTAATATCATTTCTGATGCTGTTTTCTTCCATAGTAGGTAATATTGGTGCTTAATCATTTTATAGTTATTAATTTTTATGATTTATATATCAGTATGTATAAAAAGATATATAAAAAGAAGAGAAAACGAAATCCTCTTATAGCTTTAAAGTCTCAAAGAGGATGAGAAACAAAGGAGGAGGCAACAATGCTTGATAAGAAATGTACTCATTACCTTGCCCATGTAATTGTAATCCCTCTTTATGGTATTTTCACAATAAATTTTTTTAATAATGAAAGAGAAAAATAATTTTAAAAAAGAGATCAGATTTATCTGGTGTAATAAAAAGTTATTCTTGCACTTCAGTCTTGAACTGAGTAAGCACATTCTTCAACTTAGCTTAGGTTTTGAAACTGCTATTATTTTTTTTTGTAAGTATTCAAAGGGTTATTTGGTAGAGTAGGTAAGTTATCTTTGGTCACATATAAGTATATATTGTATTGGTGAGGTATGTATGAGTGATGCATGAATAGATTATTACAGTTAACTGAGCAGACTAAATGGCTGGGCTTGGAATATGACAGATACCATTATTAGGCACTAAGTTATGACTAGCAATGACAAAACTGGATATCTGTAATATAATAATCTAATTCACAAGAACTTCATAATCAAAATAAAATCAAGCAGATATAGTCCCAAATCACTGTAGATTTTTATTACATTGAATGGGAATGTCAAAGCGAAATGTGCCATAAACTTAGATGTATTACTTGGCCTGAAGTAGTATAATACAATTGGTGATGCAAAAACACAAACAAGATGGGAAAACAGCATAAACAGTGAGATCTGAATACAGCAAAAGGCATACCTTTGCAACTTTTCTATCAACACTCATTGAAATTTCTATCAACACTCATTGAAATTTCGCCTACTACTAGTGAATCAACAATATTCACTTAGTGCTATCAGTATATAAAATATTGAATTATGCAAAAAATATGCACTAAATAGTATCTTACCTGTAAAATCCAAAGTAATGTAACTTGAATGCTGCTATTCCACCAGACACTTTAAATTATAAGCAACAATACATGATTTTCATACACAAAATGGATTATTTTTTTAATTTAATTTTATTTTATTTGTGAACATACTGTACAGAGGGGTTACAATTACATGGGCAGGATAATGCATACATTTCTTACCAAGCATTGCAGCCTCCTCCTTTGGTTTACCCTTCACATCCCTTCCCAGCCTCCCCCCTCCCCCCCAATAAAATCCTTCTCCTTCCCCTCCCTCCACCCCCCCCCACCGACGTTGTAAAGCTCGTTTTGGACATGACAACTTGTACTTCTCATTGTTGCATCAGATCCACCTGTATCCTTAAACAACTGGTTTTTCCCCATCTCCTCTACAAGTTATACTGACATCAAATATAGTGAAAGCAGGGGTTATACTGTGGGGGAGGGACATGCAAAGCAACAAAGAGATAATCTCATAAATGCGTTAGAAACACATGTATGAAAGAAAAAACATTAAAATACATCTCTAAGGGTTCATTTTCCTGACATCACATTATCTGACCTTTTCTGCTTGACTCATACATATACTAGATATTGCAAATAAGGGAAACCATGGGACCTATGTTTCTTTGGGCCTGGCTTACTTCACTCAATATAATTTTTTCCAAGTCTTTCCATTTCCTAACAAATGGGGCAATGTCCTTCTTTCTGATGGAGGCATAGAATTCCATTGTAATACACAAAATGGATTATTCTCTGAATGTCTCCCAAATGACTGCTAGGAACAGTAATCTATACTGCTGTACTCTTATGGCTGGTTCATTTTAGCAAATGGACAGGGCAACTAGAACCAAGGTTTTAGTGCAACTTGCAGCAGGCCCTTCTTCTAGCCTGAATACTCTAACTCCATTCACTATCTGCCTGGCACCTCTCACTCCTATGTAAACCAACACAATCCTACACAAAGGAACCCAGCCTGGCAAAGTATCCAATATGTAAACCATCATAGGATAGTCTGCCACTATTAAATAATTGGGAAACATAAGGAATCACTGATGACTGAAGAAGGAGATAGAAATATTCAGAGATTCCATTTCAATTATTCCCTGCTTCCCCAAAGTTATCCTTGTTTCTTCACCACTGATGTAGTGTGTTCAATATGACTCTTTTTAATAGAAGTTTTTCCCTATGGCATTATTAGTGGGAGTGTAAACTTGTTCAACCACTTTGGAAAGCAGTACGGAGGTTCCTCAAAAGACTACACATACAGCTCCCCTATGACCCAACAATCACACTTTTAGGCATTTACACAAATAAGGCCATACTAAAACTACCAGCACAACTATGTTTAACACAGCATTACTCACCATATCTAAGATATGGAACCAATCCAGATGTCCCTAAGTAGATGAATGGATCAAGAAAATGTGTTTATATTTTATATATATATACACACACACACACACACACACATATATAAAACCTATAATGGAATTCTATGCCTCTATCAGAAAGAATGACACCGCCCCATTTGTTAGGTAATGGAAAGACCTGGAAAAAATTATATTATGTGAAGTAAGCCAGGCCCAAAGAAGCATAGGTCCCATGGTTTCCCTTATTTGCAATAACTAGTATACGTCTAGGACAAGCAGAAAGGTCAAAAGCCATGTACATATGACCATACAAGATGATGCTAAGCAAAATGAACCCAAAGATAGGAACACGAGAGGTTTTATCTTTATTGCTGTTGTTTTTTTTCCTTTTATGTTTTTTATTGTGAAAATACTGTACAGAGGGGTTACAGTTACATGAGCAAGGTAATGAGTACATTTCTTATCAAGCATTGTTGACTCCTCCTTTGTTTCTTGATGTTGTTTTTAATGTACTTACAATGTATTATGTGATTTTCTTTGTTCCTTTTGTATGTTCTTCCCCCAAGATATAAGTGCTGTTTCACTGTACTTGTTTCCAGTGCCCTGCATCTTGTACATACATTTTTCTAATTTGGGGAGGGGAAAGGAAATAACAAAATGCTGAAATAAGGATACAGGTTGACCCACTGTAACAATGAGATGTACAAGACACTAAGTTGAAAACAAACTTTTACAAGTTGGGGCAGGGAGGGAGGATTTGGGGAGGTAGGGTGGGAAGGGATGGTAGGGGAAAAACAAATAAATAAAACAAAAAATAGTAGTTTTTAATTAATCGGTATTCAGAGGATCATGAGTTCCATGTCAGCCTGGACAATATAATGAGACTCTGAGGAAAGGGAAAGGGAAAGGGGAAGGGAAAGGGGAAGGGAAAGAGGAAGGGGAAGGAAGGAACGAACGAACGAAGGAGGGAAGGAAGGAAGGAAGGCAGGCAGGCAGGGAGGGAGAAAGGGGAGGGAGAAAGGGAAGGAGGGGGAGAGGGAGAGAGCAAGGAGGAAAGGAGGATGGGAGGGAAGAAGGAGAAGGGAGGAGAAAAGGGGGAAAGGGAGGGGAGGTGGAAGTTAATAGTTCTAGTATGCTACCATCAGTTTGTCACATTCAAAATCAATGTCTTCATTTTTCATTCTCTCGTGGTGTTTGAATTGCTATATCTATCTCTACCTCAATAGTCATTAAATTCTGGTTTATATCCAACTTATCAACTATGGCACAAAGACAATCTAAATATAATTTCAAAAAAACAGTGTACTCACAACAAAAAGCACAAGAGGTTAAGGAGCTAACTTCAACAACAACAACAACAACATTTCCTATGCACATAAGATGTCTCATTCTTGTCAAGAAAAAAAAGTCTACCACAGCCACAAACATGCCTAGAATAAAATCACAAACCAAGAGTGAATAGATTGATAAGTTCTCAATGGGGCCACTTTTCTATGAGGTGGATGTTCTGAGCATGTAAGTATACTCCAATGCTTTGCTGTCTGAAGACGTATCCACTATAGTCTCCAATCAGTTCCATAGATGAAGAAATTCTCACAAACATGAATAGAAAAGCAACATCATAACTTCAAGTAGTACAGTACAAAGAAGCTGAAAATACATCTTGAGTTGTCATTACCTGTAATGCTCACTGATAGGAACATTCTGAGAGAAGTATAAAGCTGCTGTCCGTGCTCTCCAATGCCATTTCTTTGCAGGGAGGGTATAAACGGCACAGTCTTTCAGTTCTTCTTGGAGCAGGTCTACCAGCTGTTTATGGGAGCCCCCACAGAATGCCTCGATGATGAGAATACTCATTGGCCTGTTCAAACCTTCAGAATCAACCAAAAGATTTATATTTCTAAAATATCCAATACAATTTTTGAAAAAATTCATGTGTGTGTATATATACAAACATACAATGGAAGCAGGGTAGGGAAGGGTAGAAGGAGTCATTTAGGATATTTTTTGATAGGGTCTCACATTTATTTCCTGAGACCATATTCAGGCTACAATTCTCCTACCTATGTAAACTATGTAGCTAGGATTAGTCACATAAAATCATATCTGAATTGGGGCAGGGAAGGTGGCTCAGTGGTAGAGCGCATGCCTTGCATGCATGAGGCCCTGGGTTCATTCCTCAGCACCACATAAGCAAAAAAGAAAAAAAGCCAGAAGTGGTGCTGTGTCTCAAGTGGTAGAGCGCTAGCCTTGAGTTGAAGAGCTGAGGGACAGCGCCCAGGCCCAGAGTTCAGGCCCCAGGACTGGACCCAAAAAAAAAAAAAATTGTTGTTGTTGTTGTTGTTGTTGTTAAGATAGTGTCTTAACTATGCCAGCCAGGTTACCTTCAAACTCACAAATCTCTTGCCTCAGCCTCATTTGCAAGGTTCTTTCCAGATCATAAATGTTCTGACTCTTTTAACTCTCATATTATTATTACATCTTTAAAATAAACTATCACCTACTCTGATAAATTTTATTTGAAAGAAAGAAAGTTCATATCAAAAAGTGCTTAAACCTTAGTATATAGTTTCTTGAGATACTACACATTTGTTGCTTATTTCTTCACTGTTAGTTCCAAAGAAACAGCAAAACAGTCAGGTAAAGCTATATGTTGGTGAATAAGTTTTCTTTAAACAAAAAAACCACTGTAATAAAGTACCAATAATGATGTACTTGAAGAAATAGTAAGATTTCACCACAAAGAACTTTCCATTAATTTCTCCTTTTAATAATTAGATTTTTGTTTATGTGCTCAATGAAATAAAAAACTATGTATAAATATAAAACCTTTCATATACCTTTTCAAATTATATGCTATGTCTTGTAAGATATAAGGGAGAAACATCCTTCTGTGCACAAATGTTCTATTGCTTTAAAATTATTCCAGATGTTTGAATTTTCTTTTATGACTGAAGTAAATACTACACATTAAATAGTATATTGCTTTTTAAAATAATATTGTTCCATAAAATCATTAGCCTCAATGACTCAATAACACTCCACTAATAAAACTGTACTTCACCTTACTCAAAGTAATGCACAGTTAAATTGCATTTCAAAGCAAAAAGTCTCAGATGGTTCTCAAAGAAATGGCAAAACTGAAAACATGTTTATCTCTTGTCTGAATTTTCCAATAAGCTTTTGGTAATGTGTGTCTCTGTATGTTTCTCTTACATGTAAAATAAAAACAAAAAGCAGTGCTCACCAGAAAAATACAAGCTTGAATCTGAATTCTATTGCATTTCCAACCACATGACCTTGGACAATTACCTAACTTTGTAGGACTCAATCACTTCTTCTATAAAATGGAGATTAAAAACACTAATTCAAAGATGTGTTACGAACATAAAATTGGTAATACATTTGTCTTATGAACAGAAATTTTTAGTCATTCCTAATATTATCAAAAATCACTCTAATGAGAAAAATATCTTCTGAATCTTCCAGCATTTTAAATTCAGTACTTTTCAGTCGTGGCCTCCAAGCAGATAAGAGTATGAAAAAGTGGATGTAAATGTGCATCTGAAATGCAATGGGGAATTATTTATTTTTCATCAGCAGCTTGCATTTTAAATATGGTTTTAAGAGCCCCACAGCTTTTGTGATTAAGAGGTAAATTCAGAGGCTGATCTATGCAGAGTTCAATTTTTTTTTAATATTGCTATAGATTTCTGTTGTAGTAAGACAGTGTTCAAGGAGTTTTCAGATGCCCTTTAAGTTCAATAAAGTTGTAGTTTTTAAACCTTCAAATGATGAAAACTTTTAGAAAATAACTGAGAGTCTAATAAAAGGGAATTTTTAAGTTATATCAGAAATTTTAAGGCAGATTAAAAGCAGTTTAACATTAATTTTCTAAGTACATCAAATCACAGATATCTCCTGTCTTGCTTTATTTCCTCCAACCTAATGCTGATACTGCATACCCTGAATATCCTTAAACAATCTCTAAAAAACTAATACAAATGGCCTGAGATATTGCACCCAAGAAATGAAATGTGATATAAGCCACATTAAAGATGTTTTTACTCATACAACCTCAACGAAAGTAAAATCAATATTAGAAGAAAAAAAAGGTTTTCGATTCTCCATTACTCTACCTTTTTTGTTTTTTTGGTCAGTCATGGGGCCTGAACTCTGGGCCTGGGCATTGTCCCTCAGCTCTTCAGCTGAAGGGTAGCACTCTACTACTTTAACCACAGCGCCATTTCCAGCTTTTTCTGCTTATGTGATGCTGAAGAATCCAAGTCAGGGCCTCATGCATGCAAGATAAGCACCCTACCACTGAGCCACCTTCCCAGCCCTACTCTGCCCATTTTAGCGATTAATCTAGCATATATATACATATATACACATACATATATACATATATACACATATATATACATGTATACACATATATACATATATGTATACATATATATGTATATATACATATATACATATATGTATGTATATGTATACATATGTGTATATATACATAATGCCATATATTTACAGATGTTTCTTATGGGTTTGAATCATGTTATCTGAAAACCATCAGCCATTGTGGAAGTAGTACATGAGGTGCTACGGGAGATTCAAAGCACTTGGTAAGCAGAACTGAACACTAAGCATGTGGGAGGTCGAAAATAGAAAAGAGGAAAAAAAGATTATAGCTATAGTGGATTTCCACCCCTTTAATAGCTCAGTAGGAAGAGTGAAATATACAGGTTAGAACTACTATTTACTTGAGCATTTTTCTACTGGCCACTGGGTGTGCCTACATTTGGAGTATTTTTCTAGGGAAGGTAACTATGTCCTACCATCTCTAAAACTATACTTAGTGGCTTTGATTCATGGAAATTTGTTCTGCTTGTTTTGTGGAGACAGACATATCCTGGCAGTTCCCCACTTACTTCTACTGAACTTTTGTGCCAAAAGAAAATGTGTTCTTTCCCGTAGTCTTATTGAAGCATGACCTGGAACAGAGATAACTCTCATTAGATGTAAGCAAAAGGTGCAAGGCGCTGAGGTTTCAACATAAGATTCAAACCAAATGTCATTATGACATACTTATGGAATAAATAGTTCAAATACTTTCACTGTGCTTGAATTCTGTTTCAGAAGACACTGGTTGAAACAAATACGCAGGAGGTTGTAAAAATCACTTTGCTTTAACAGTGTAAAATGAAAAGGCAGAGCACTATTTGCTTTCAATACTAGAGAAAACTGCAGACAGATGTCCTGATAACACAAGAGCCTTACAAGTATGCAGAATGAATACAAACATTTTTGAATCACTAACAATGGTAAGCAAGGAAAAAGTACTTGAAAGGACCAGTAATAGTATTTTCATGTTAAAAGGGAAAACTCTAAAGCAAAGACAAGGTCTTCTTGAGGGAACGATACTATGGCTACTTGTGTGACAAAAGATATTGATAAGCATACATAGGATCATATATCATAGGTGCCTGAGTGTATGACTTGGTTAAAGCTTTGTCACAAGTACTACCATCAACTGGAAATCAAGTAACTTATCAGAATCAGAAGTGTGCCATTTATATATATACATATATATGTATATATATTTAAATATATACACGTATATATTTAAATATATATAATAGGTTGTACAATAAATACCAAGCAGAAACACCATGGTTTAACTACATGGCACTAAGAATACCTTAAAGAACATAAAATGTTCAGATACAATTTAGTGACTTTTAGGTTTTTCTGCTTAAACCAGTAAGCTCCATAGTCAGTTAAAGAAAACTCATTTCTTCAGCACATTTTATTCTCAAAGGATAGCAGATAAACGGACAGTCTACTATACTATTAAAATTTCATGAAAGTTTAATTCATTATCAATACTATGATTTAATGATACATAGTTAAGTGCTAGCCATTAAATCTGGCAATATAAAATGAATCAAAATGGTACTGTGACATAGAAATTTTTATATCTTTTCAAATTCTATTTCTAAGGATCATCAAAGGGCTAACCGATCTATTTGTGAATCACCTTCCTTACAAAAGTTTATATTTACAATTAATAGGAGTACAAAAGGATAGAATGAAAAAAATCAGAATAGTATTATATAAATAAACATATTTTGACCAAAATGAAAAAGTGCCATTAGCATCATCTCAATTAAAAATTAATAATGTTGGTAAGAGAGAACAAAAGTAGCCTGAAACCAATTCTGTGAATATTTTTGAAATGTTATTAAAATACTTTGTCATTATACCTGAATTTATTTTAGGCTTGACCCGATTTCTTTATTCCCTGAGCCATGATCAGTTTCAAGGTGAACTATATTTTTGTCTACCTCCTCTTGCAGCTACTATTTCTGTGGCAATTGAAAAAAATATTTTAACAGAACACAGGAATTCTACAGTGTTCCATTTACTGATTGGTTGAAAAACATATGCTAAGTACACATGCTATATGACAATTTTAAAAAACCCTTTTAACAGAAATGCATAATTCATTTTTATATTTAATGTCAACTCATTTAACTATGGTATTAAAATAATTTTCCAACAAAATACCAATAATAATTTAAACACAGGAACTCTTGTGCTAATATAGTCAATATATACCTTTTGCTATTAGTTACAGGAACTTAACTGTTTTAGTAATAATGATTTTAAATTTTAATCCAACACATATGAGACTAATCTCACAGAAAAATCTCAATATACCTGATACCTTAAACTTTCAGTTACTGAAAATAAGTTTTCTATTTACCTGCATACAGTATTTTTACATTTGAGACTGACTGAGAAAAATGATCTTAAAACCTAGATGACTTAAAGTTGGGAAAAGTGAATTTTGAGTAGGCCTTTCTTTTTATTTGGGGGGGGGGTCTGGTCGTGGGGCCTGAACTCTAGGCCTGGGTGCTGTCCCTCAGCTCTTTAGCTCAGGGATAATGCTCTATCACTTGAGCCACAGCACCACTTCCGGCTTTTTTCTTTTTGCTTCTGTGGTGGTGAGGAATCAAACCCAGGGCTTCAGGCATGCAAGGCAAATGCTCTACCACTGAGCCACCTTCCCAGCCCTTGAGTAAGTCTTTCTAACAAGTCATTTGAGTTTTACCTGGTATTGTCTGACTGACCCTTTTCCATCCTTCTGTTCTGCACCTCCACCCACTGACTCCAACATACAAAGGCCATAATTTTTTTCCCAATAATGAAGATATCATTTGCTATGGCATATATTGTACAGAGGGGTTACAGTTACATGAGTAGGGTAATGAGTACATTTCCTATTGAGCATTGTTACCCCCTCCTTTGTTTTTCCCTTTTATCCCTTCCCTCCCCACCTCCTCAACTCCTCCCTCCACCCCCAAGTTGTAAAGTTCATTTTCAACATAGTGACTTGTCTCATTGTTACAATGGGTCAACCTGAAACTTTGTTTCAGCATTTTGTTATTTCTCTTCCCCTCCTCAAATTAGAAAAATGTATATAAAAGATACAGGGCACCTTTGATACTTAGGCCATATTTTAAAAGCAGCTAGTTACCAGAAGAGTAATATAAGGCAATATTGAGAAAAGTTAGCATTGCCTTCCAGCCCACTCAGTTATCTTAATGATTCATCAGGGAAACCCCGGTTGTTAAAATAACTGGAATTATAATTAAACAGGCATGAAAAGATGTCTGCTTTGAGACATGTCACCAATGATTCCCTTAACAAAACCCACTGAATATGAAGTAATAATATTTCTTTTAAAAATTCCTCAAAGTAGTGCATCCCATTATCATACCAAAAAAAAGATGAAGACATATATTCTGCTAAAAAGTTGTACTTTCTAAACTCTTCTATATAAATAAACAAGCGATAACTCTTAACAACTGAACAAAATCTTAAGACTAAAGTATTGTCTACCATAACACACACTAACAATCGTATCTTAACACTATCTCCTCTGACATACTCTAAGGAACAAATCTATTTCCTAGTTTGAGTTGCAGATAAAGCCTAATAAAAATCATCCATTATTCTATCATTTGGCTGTAGTTTTATAAACTAAAAAACATTAGTTTGCTTGGTACTATCTGCATATTACCCTACATGCTTAAACAGAAACAAAACCTTACAAAACATTTCAAAGATAGAGCAATCTAATATTTTAATGTCTCTACAATGTTACAGATGTTCTTATTTCTTTAACTCTGACTTTTGTTTCCAGTCATAATGACAAAGAACTAAAGATCGATACATCAAATCAGCTTTGGTAGAAAGCTACTGATGCTATATCATTGAGGAAACAATTTAAAGCTATTTTAATGTGCTTTTGCAATTATGAG